TATTACTACTCTTCTAAACTAACTACTACGTACGTAACGTTACGTTACCTACGTACCACTACTACTCCTACTGTTCTTCTACTATTCTACTTGTTGTACTCTCTCTCTCTCTCTCTCTCTCTCTCTCTCTCTCTCCTCGCACACCTTTCGATCTTCAAAATGATAGTATTTAAATAGTTCCTCCAAGCCATTCACTCCATGTTCCCATGTTCCAAAGTTGACTAAGTAAATGAATAACTTTCATCTCACTCATCCCATTAAAAAATAGTAACTCTATTCCAATCAATTTGGAATCCAAAGTGGAGTTTTGTGAATTAATAAATTCATCCAAAACTAGTGATTTGTGTTCTATGCCATGGAATTCCGGTTTCAGTGTTGAATTGAGTGGTAAGTCAATAACTTTCACTCAAAATAGTTCAAATTGGGTGGAAAATCAATAGTTTTAGCACATGATTGTACGTAATCATCGTTAATTTTCTTGCATGATGATTACATATGGATCAAGCCGTCAAATATGAAATTGGGCAACTAGGTTGTATCATTTCTCGAAAAAGTCAAAAGTTTTTCAAGTAGGTCTCAATTTTCTATTCTCCATTCTAATAGCTAGGGGTAATTGTGACCCTTTTTATTGTAAAAGTAATCATTCTTATTGTACGCATTCTCTTGTTCTGCTTTGTATTTCAAATTTCAATAAAGTGGTAAATTTATAAGTCCACCCTATTCCACCTATCCAAAATATATGAAAATTGATTAATCAATATGTAATTAGAGCTATTATCCGCACTAGAACTTGTCCTGATAAGCTAAGATAAATTATATTTCTCACATATGAGATTTTCATATGATAAAGTCATGTAATTTTCTAGAATTTAATACATTAAAGTTTGAAAATATCCGATAAAATCTCAATAAATGAAACAAGCATGATAATATATTGATAAACCCCTTAATTGATAATATCTTGATTATGATAATTGTCACTAAGTTGTATAAGTTGGGTTTAGCTAACAGGATTTTTTTCTTAATTAAGTAGGTAAGATTTCATTGAGAGAACGCAAAATTAAGAGGTACAATTAGCCCAAGGAATTAATTAGTTAATCCATGCATCTTTCTCAAAATAGTATATTTCACAAACCATGCACTTTGAGAGTCAAAAGTTCATTATAAGTAAGGTGACAAATTAAAATATTTAAAAATATCTATCATTCTATCTAATAGATAATAATGACGGATCATAATTTGTATAGCCAATCCCAATTAATGGAGAAAAAGCTTCGAAGATGATGAAATAGTTGGGTAAGATTTTTCGAACCCATCTTCTCAATCACTCTCATTTAACACCACCCACAAAATAAATTCCAAAATCTTTTGTGCTCCGGCGGGAGCACGATGTCGTTGAAAAAACCAAACATAGCGGTTATTTTACAACAGAACAAAGCCAAAAATATTACTATGTGCTCCCGCGGCAGCATATGTTAGGAACAGCGTTATTGGTCCGTTATTTGTCATTGGCAAAATTGTGAAGCGTTTTCACTGTACATAACGCCACAAAAACTCTCTCTTTCTCTCTGCCCCTAAACTCTTCCAAGGCCACTCTCCTCTCCTCTCCTCTCCTCTCCTCTCCTCTCTCTCTAAACTCGCCAGAAACCAAACAGTAATTTTCCGATGGCTTTCACATCATGGGTAGCTCCAAAGCCCGCCGGAATCTGAATCTCCATTGTCATTTTCCGGCGGTGGGTCCATTCGTGGGGGGCTTACCAGCATCCCCTCCGCCATGCTCACAATAAGACTCGGCATATCAAACAACTCCTCTTCGTCCAAAAACTCAGGCTCTTGTATCTGACCCACATTTTCAGTTTCCAAGAATGGCCCTTCGCCCTCGGCTGCTGATGCAGGGGCAGGGGCAGAAGGGGGACTTCCGTGAGTAACGATTGGGTCATTTTGTGCTAGGTCCCGGTCCCGGTCCCGGTCCCGGTCCCGGTTCGGGCCAGTGGAAGAGGCGGCACTGTTGGTTTGGCGGCGGAGAGAAGCGGCCGCAGCCGCTGCAGCCTGTATATCGGCATGCGAGGAGGAAGCAGGGACAGGGAGCGAAGCATAACTTTCAGGAAAGTTGAGCACGGCATTCGATCCTTTAAGGAAATAGGCGGCCGCGTCATAAGCTGAGGCGGCCATTTCCGGGGTCGGGTAAGTCCCGAGCCAAATCCGGTTCGATTTCCGAGGCTCCCGTATCTCCGATACCCATTTACCGCTCCGCGACCGGATTCCCCTAAACATCGGGTGCCGCCCAGGCGACCGTGGGCTGTCCTGCCGATTATCCGATCCAGTTCCGATCGCGGTCCTATTTGACTGTTGGGATGATGACACTTGGCGGGAGGAGAAGGGGTGTGACATGGATGGAGGGGGGTTGGCTTTGTTTATAAGTAGGTAGGTTAGAGAGAGAAAGTGATTTTTGGATTAGAGAGAGAGAAAGGGGTTTTTTTTTGGATTAGGAGAGGAGTTGGGAGTATTATAAGAGGAGAGGAAAAGCGCGGTGTACAGGGATTTGCACACGCTTTGCTTTGTGGAGTTTTTGCGCTTGGGTTGAAGTGAGCTGGTGCTTGGTAGACAGTGGTAGCTAAGTTAATGGTGTCTCTTAATTCGTGTTTGATGTGTTTGTGTGGGTACGTACGCTCCCTGTCTGCTTTAATTGTGGCTGCGGATGCTTTGAGTTTGGCTTGGGGAGCAGGCCTGGCAACGGGCTGGACCGAAGTAGGGGTGGTAATGGACCCAACCCGAGACCCGAGGGGTAGACCCGATCCAAGTCCGGGTATAGGTCCAAAAATTGGACCCAGACCTGACCCATCAGGTCTAATTTTTGTACCCAAATGCTATTTCGGTTCAAGTCTGGGATCGGTCGGGGTCGGGGTCTGGTTATATTTTTCAGGTCTCAATATATGAAATAGATTTAAATACAATTAAATACATAGATATTTTAATTTTTGGGTCAGGTCCCGGTCTGGGTCCTACACTATATTTTTGGGTTTGAGTCCGAGTTTGATAAATTCGGTTTCGGGTCCCATATCATTTTTCGGGTCCAAGTCTAGCCAGACCTGACCCCCATTGCCACCCCTACTGGGGCTAGGCTGGTCCATCTTATCCCAGGGCTGCCCTTAGTCCCTATAAGGCTAGCTCTTGGCCCAGCCCGAACTCGACTGGGCCAAATCCCTAGGCTAGATCGAGCCTAACAAAAGTAATTTTTTTGAAAAAATTAAAGGAAGCTACAGGGTCGGGGCCAACTGGCCCTATCATGGCCCTAGCCCATGCTCGGCGCGACCTGACCCACGAGCCACATCTTGTGGTCCAAGCCCTACATTTTCAAGTTCGTGCTAGGGCAGGCTTGCTTGTGCCACCCAACCCAACAAATTAGAGAGAGAGCATAAATTTTGAGCAAAATACATGGAATTCATGGAGAGATCGGCTAAATAAATCTGCAATTACAACACTTAGTAAATACTTATTACTGAGAATCCCAGTCAGTCAGTGTTTGCAAAATCAAACCAGAACGGTTAACCGGACATGGGCTTGGAAGCGATTTAACCAACCTAACCAGTAAATCGGCCAATTCAACTGTTCTAACCAGGCAAGTCACGGGCGGTCAAAAAAATGTTAAAATCATAAAAAAAAATATAAAACAAAAACAAAACGAGAAAAATACAAAAATACAAAAAAAAAAAACTACTAAAATATGAAAAGCATATAAAGAATGATTAAAACAAAATACATTCAAATGAAGTTGAAATTAATGAAAAAAATGGAGTTTAATAGATTGATTTGTGCCTAGGGGTATTTTTAAAATTTTCTAAAAAAAAAGTGAGTAGTAATGACCAAAACAAATTTTAATCTTTACCATAATGTAAATAATATTAAAAAATACAATACAAACCAAATTCCTTATTTCGAGAATTTATATACATTTTTTTGAAAATACAAATTTTAAATACTGGTCAATCACCAAAACCGCCCAAAACTAAAAACGCCAATGGCCAATTCTGACTAACCAGGCAATTAGCTGTTAGATCGCCCGATTTTTCCAACAGTGCTCCCAGTTTCGTATACCCAGTATAAATTCTTACCTAAGGGATGAATCGAGATTCACCGCATACTACAGGGGTTGATTCCATCCGTAATGAATAAATTTCAAGGCAAGAATCACGGCTTGAAGAATGTCTGCATAATATTAGTATCAAGCTCAATCTTCTCGAGTTTAATGAAGAGCTTGCACGTTTGGTAAGCGTAAAAATACTTCTTATGAAGTGTTTTCACATAAAAAAACTCTTATGTGATTAGGTGTGGGAGTATTTTCACACATATTGGTCTTAGCGCATTTTGTCACACCAATTGGCAGCTAGTTAATGTGAAAATAATCCTGCACCTAATCACATGAACGAGATTTTTCACGTGAAAATACTTAGGCACATAGTAGGATACCATTGCCAACTATTCAAGTGACATCTAAAGGATGCGATGTGCACCACAAATTCGAAGTTGAGCTTCTACCAAGAGAATGATTGTAGACACCCTCTTAAAATTTTGGCTAAAGGAACTCCTAAAAACTTCAATTCTGAACCTAAATGACCACACAAACTTTAATAGACCATAGACAATTTAGACTCAATACAATTGCACCAAAACTGCCCAAAGCCTATCCCAATTTGAAATAGACCCCGAGAGCTTTCCAATGTTCGAAGAATCACATGAATCGAACCTATGGATAAAATGATTTAACAAATGACAATTTAGTCCATGTGAGACACATGTCTGACCGTAGGCCGGGTCGTGACGCGACTCTGCAAGCCCAAGCGCAGCCTGATGATGCAGCAAAGGTGTTGTCTTTAATTAGATAAGGTTAAATAAAAAAATCCAAAAAAATAAGAAAAATGACCAATTAAATCCTATAAATATCCCCTCCATAACCCAAAACTTGGCCAAAAAAGAGGAAAGAGAAAGAAGATCAAGAAATTCCGTAGAAATTCTCGAAATTAAGAAAATAGCCTAAAAATATCAAAAAATAGAAAAACCACATAGAAAGATCATAAAAAATTAGAAAAAATCCCAAAATTCATATTCAACCTTAGAAACCATTAAAAAAGTAAGGAAATTCTCCTCCAATCCCAAGAAAAGCCTAAGTAGAGCTGACTTAAAATTCACGGCTTTTCCCCCTGCCTTAGGAACCTTAGATATAGGTTAAAAAACCTTAGATCTACCAATTATAACAAGCATAAGGCATAAAAAAAAAACCTGAATATTTCCCTTGCCTTAGGAACCCTAGATCTAAGTCGAATATCCTTATATCTACCCATTCCAACAAGCATAAGGCATCCAAAAAAGGAGATGGTGGTACAAATTGGAAGAGCGGTCTTATCCAAACCTGAAACTCCAGGTTTCAAGTACTTAGAGGTAATGCTTAATTTAATATATTTTTCTTCATTTAATTCTTTGGTTTATTTTATTTTTCTGAAAACGTATTTATTATTAGATTTCATTAATTTTAGAATCGTTTTTTTTAGTTAAAATACGGATTTGGAGCTGGTACTGCCAATTGACTCAGAAAATGACAAAATAGATCTGGGATTTTTCTGAGCTCATAAATTCAAGCAACCTCACTTTCTCTACTTTTTTAAAAAAATTAACTCAGTTTTTTACTAATATTTGAGCAGATCTCATCCCAGAGATTGGCACAAATCCGAGCGTAAGCAATGATGCAATTAACTTTTGGAAAAAGTTTTATATAAGGTTGCAACCTTATATGTAGAACGATAGATGCACCTCAAAAATCCATCATAAAAGGTAGTTTTAATGTTGAAAAACCTTTTGATTGATCATCTTGACATCGAGATGTATGACCATGAAAAAAAAAAAAGATTTTAAGTCTCAGAAATAGTGCATTTTATAACATATTATCTACACCGTCTATTTTCAAGGTTTTCATATGTTTATAGATCTACTTGATTTTAACCATTCTTGAAATTTAAACTTTTATAATTAGATATAAAAATAGATTTTGAGATAATCCTAAGAAAATTTTACATCAAAATTATATACCATGGCAAATTTTGAAGGTGCACCTTACCTCTACAGCTACGGATACATCCGTAGGCTAACTGCACCCTTAACTGTTTACTTCATTATTTTTTTAAGAGATAAAAACTAGGGTTTGGGGTTATTTTAGTTTCTAGTTTTTTAAGGGTATTTGTATCTTTTTTTATTGTAGAAAATTGAGGGGTAGAATTGCATATTAAAATTTTAAAAGATGGAAGCTTGAAATTTAGTATTGTTTAAGATTTATTCGGGAGCAAGTTAAGCTAGGTTTTTTTATAAATATTTAATTGAAAAAGAATAGAGAAGAGAAGAAGAGCTCATTTTAGATATTGTGAAGAGTTTTTTTTGAGGTGGATTTTTTTTAGATTCGTTGAATAGATCTTTTAATCTTTTATTTTCTGATTTACTCGTTTTATTCCCCACTTCCTTGCATCAGATGGTCTATATTCAACATTGAAATTATTGTTTTTCAAGCCCACAAAGAACGAGATTTAGAAAAAAAAAGTTATTCAGGTTGGTCTATGAACTGAGGAGGTTACATTTGCAAAATTTGGGGTTCTTAAGATACTCCTAGATTAGGCTTTACTCGAGGGAGTAAATCAAGAGTATGCTCCGGTAGGAGCATGAAATCATTTGAAACTTGAGGCGTTTTGTTATTGGATGTTTTTGTTTAGGGCAGCATTTTAAAAGACGATTCGGGCTATTGATTAGAAATGACTGGATTGGCAACCTGGATGAGCCGAATCAATGAAAATTTGGTTTAAAAAGACAATAGAAAACAACGGCTAAAAAATTTGGCTAAAGATAATAAATGGAAAGGGGATTTGGTTCGGTAATTCCGGAATTTCAAGATCTAAAAATAATTTATCTTGTAGCAAGTATTTGAAACGTATATTTTCAAGATTCTGAAGTGTTTCGAGATATGTTAAGTTGATGTTGTTCTTAATATTTTAAATTTAATAATTAAGATTGAATATAGATTTTCAAGCTATCATTATAAGTTTCAGACAACTGAAACTGTATTTTTGATAAAATTTAGAAATGCACCTCACTTGTATAGTATAACGTAGACATCTTTTTTTAATTTTTTTTTTTAAAAAAAGAAAAAAAAAGAATTGGTGATGTTAACTAATAAGCTCCCTCTCAAGTTGACAGTTGTAACGCTCTCGATCACGTTAAAAACGATAAATTGGTGATGTCAACGGCGCAGCTCTTTCTTCACTTGACAGTTGTAACTCTGGCGATCGCTCTCTACTAAGGGAAGGGCCCATTTTGACAAATTAAAGCCCTCGTGACACCTTCTCCACAATTAAAATCTCTTTCATGGCACCTTCTGCACAATTAAAATCTCTCTCTCTCTCTCTTTCTTTCATGACACCTTCACAATTAAAATAT